AGCGATTCCCATGATTGGGACTCATATCGCTCAATTCGTGTCTTTTCATCTAGGACACTCTCGTCCATAGATGAACTACTGAGAACTCTCTCGTTCTCAGTAAACACTGTTGCTGACCTTATGTCGGTTACACACTCGTCGTCAGCGACGAGTATGCAGATCTGCTTGACTTTGCCACTACGCAGATCACGCAAGAACCTTTTATGTTCGAGCGTTGGCAACTGAGTGATCTCCGAAGTTAACTTCGGAGGCGCAATCAGATCAAGTGTATAAGCGCCTACACATGATCCGTTATTGACTATGACATTCAATGTCTCTGTCATTTCCTGGGGACTTATTCCCTCAGGCTTCGAAGGACTTATTCCTTCGTCTTCCCGGGGACTTATTCCCGCGGGTTTCGGGGAACTTATTTCCGCCGTATTTGTAATCTTGGGACTTATTCCCTTTATTTCCTCTAGCTGGGGTTGCGCAACCACAGCGAGATCCTCTACGAAAGACTCTCCAGTCGATCTAGGATTATCGTTTCGCTTAACCTGAGCGATCGATTGTTTCTCTTCTAGATGTTCCCCTCTAGGGATACATCTTTGTCCCAGTCCACCCGACTTATTCGAGTGGTGGACCTTCGGCGCAGCCTGTGTTTCCTCACAGCCGCCGGAACTTTGCTCCGAAGTGTAACCGTTTGGTACACTAAGGTTTTGTGCAGTCGTACTAACGACCGTACCACAAGTGAGGCCATCGCACTCACTCGTAGTACATCCACACGCTTGTGGACGCTCCAAAACGTTCATCAGATGGCCATCTGATGAACAAGCGGCAGGCATCGTTACTGTCCGATGTTGCCAGTTTACCCGTGGTTCGTACCTTCTGAGCCACGGTATTCCAAGGATGACATCAAATTTGTCATCCAAATCCAATACGATAAAGTCATCGTCATATTGGGTATCTTCTAGCGTATAGCGAATCTTCACTATACGCTTCATGACGGTTACGGATGCGCCTGTCGCAAGACGAACCGTCATCCTCGTAGGAGGTGTGTCACATTCACTGAATTTAAAGTGACCATCTTCTAGCGATTGGCGTCGCACAAAATTGTTAGACGCCCCACAATCGACTAGAGCTCGAAGGGACAACTTATTCGTCACTTCGAGTTTCAAGGTAATGAGTGAGATCTCATTACCTAGAGCAGCAACGCACAACGTCTGTGTGTTGGGAGCAACCTTCATCAAGAGGCCTACAAATTCTCTTGACGTTGCTGGATCAGTAGGGTGCTCCGCACCTACTGATCCTGTCCGTTTTTTGACGGTCCATCCCGTTGTTGCGTCTTTGCACCAACTGCGGACCCTCGTCCCTGCCCCTTTCTCATGGGTGGACGGTCACTACGCCCAGTGTCGCGAGACACTGGACGAGGGGCACTACACTCGTAAGCGTAGTGTCCTGTCTTTTGACATCTGTTGCATCTCTGCAACTTCTTGTAGCCTGTAGAGCGAACCTTCTCACTCTCTACATAACAGAGTTCCATCGGCTCTGGACCTCCGTTGTCATATCGTCTCGGTTGACGATATGATGTCGAGCTGGCGCGAGCCTGTCTCAGACTGAAGTCTTCCTGCTCCGCAATGGAAATGGCTTGTTCTAGTGAATCTAGTTCAAGCCGGAACAGGTGAGTCTTGACGGGACCATCCGCAAGACCCTGCATGAACACCGAAACCAACGTGTGTTCATCCACTGGATTGGAACTTATACAACTCGTAAGATGTCGTATATGTTGAGCGTAAGCGTGCACATCACGCTTACCCTGCTTGAGCTTCAAGAGTTCGGTTCGAGCCCTGAACTCAGCTCTAGGCGGTTCAAACGTTTGTCTGAGCCGCGACTTGAAGACTTCCAACGACCCAAACGCATATGGGTCGTGCAGCTTGAGCCCCAGTGCCCAAGTCTTGGCACGTCCTGCCAGATTTGATTGGGCAAATGCAACTTGCATATCCCCGTCGTCGATGCGACGCGCCCTTATGGCGTCATCCAATTCGACGAACCATCTCAAGAGGGAGTCTTCTTCGACCCCTCTATACTTTGAGATGTCAATCTTCAAAGTCTCGGGCCGACGCGAGTGCATCGACCCGCCAGCAGCAGCCTGCTGCTGTCTCAACAGTTCAAACTGTTGAGCACCTTGTTCTCTCAACAACTCTGCTTGTTGAGAACCTTGTTGGTGAAGCAAGGCTACTTTCTCGCGTTCAGCGTCAAGTTCATTTTGGATGAACTTGGCGATAGTAGCATGTTGGGCGTCTCTATTGAGAGCCTCTAGCATGACGCTAACAGCATGGATGCCCATGGTCGAACCCATTCGTTCAACCGCATCCCATTCGACATCGCTCAAATGGGAGTAGCCGTCACGCGTAGCGTGAAAGCTTTGGTCATCTTCATCATCCAACATATTCATGTTGGATGTGAACGCGGTCCTTGGACGGACTACGAAGTGCTACCAGGTGTAGCGGGGCACCCTGAAGCTTGTACTGGTGACAGTACAAGCTACTTATTCTGATAACAGAATAAGGCGGTGCCTCGTAACTTCACGTACACTCGTACGTGCAGAGGAAGACGGTAAGAAGAAGCGAGTACTTGGTTAGAGTAAAAAGTAGAACTGTATTTATAATAGTTAATGTCTGCAATAAATCACTATTTATCTTCATCTAACTATGTCTAAATACAAATGTGTAAATCAATTATCTGCTCACCACTCATTGCGTGCGTCTGTCGTGGCGCGTCTTCGTTGGTTGATATAATGGCCTATATCAACCAATTAGGAACTACTTGTAAGTGCTACAGAATATTTGTCCTTATGACAATATTCTGAGAATATAACTCTTATAGTTATATTCTATTAACAATTTCTTATAAATTGTTATGTAACGATTCACCCCGTTACAATACTGCTTAGGATCTTAAAGTATGCTTTTGTGATTTGAATGAATTAACAGAGATGATGCACTAGACTCACCCCACCGACTCACCCGGTACGGTACTTACGCCTACCAGAACTTCTGGAGATTGTGGGTAAGCAATGTTTCGCTGAGTCGTTATAAGGGGATAATCGCTCTGGAGACCGTCTTTACGTTCGTTTTTCTGCCAACATTGCACATGACAAGCTATATAGTACTACTTTTTCTCGCCAGCACAAAGATCTCCGTAACCTCTCTTTCAGGACAGCATCGTGCGTTGGTCTGGAATGACCAGCGAGATAAACTAATACAATCAGGAAATGCATCAAGTCTGCACGGCCTTTATCAAAGCGCAATTGAATGTATCGAATGCAAGGGTCTTACTTTGATGCCTCTGTTAGACGTCGGCATCACAGTAACTGTCGTGTGAATGAAACTTTAGGCAACAAACTGATGCAAGTCCAAAATGAGTTTGAATGTTACGCTGAAAAGTTATCCGAGATGTTATGTTTGTCATGCTTAACTCGTCGCGCGCCAAGTCTAAATAGAATTCTCTGTCAATGCTGGATACAACTTTTACCCGTTATTTGAAGAGTCGCTGTAATGTGCCTCTCGTGGGGCGGCCTTCTCCTGTGTGTTCGAACGACGAAGACTACACATCAAGTATGCTTACTACTCCTAAGATTTACATCTATTTAAAAAAGAGAAAAGATTGCTCAATTTTACAATCAATATGCTAACGCCCCAAGCACGCGTTCTCGATCAGTCCAGTCTTGACATCGGTTGTACCTCAATTAATTGTTATAATAGGCCAGGGCACCAATGCCATCGAGCAACTTAGCTAGCTTGCACCCCCTACACCGACACGGTAGCTCAATATAAATTCCACGAAGACTCTCTGACCACCGTGGGAGTCTATTGATAGATCGATGTGTGTTGGAAATACTCTGTTCCACTCATTGTAAAAAACATTATCGAAACGAAATGATGTCGACCACGCAAATAACAAGAGTTGGTAATTTTGTGATAAGGTGCATGAGCACGTACGCGATCTATTGTGGGACAATTTGGGTTACTGATACCTGCGGATGGTGACAAAAGGTAATTTATTATAACGGAGACAATCGAAGACAATCTCGTCAGAAAATGTCCTCTCATCGCGATCTAAACACGCACCTTGTTCGTGGAAGCAAGAATCAAATTCATATTCTTAAACAGGTAATTTTTTACACTCTAGCCGAAAGGCTAGTATTGACGAAGCGGGATGAGGTGACCCGCGTCGATTGTAGATTGTGTTTCCACCTTAGAGACCGATAGGTCATGCATGCATTGCATTGGCGGGGCGACACACAATCAAGCCGATATGCTTATATAGTGTTAAACAACTGCTTACTTCTGTCCCAAAATTTCCAGATGGTTTATAGTTGGAAATTAGGCTAAGCGGTTGGAAAATGGATGAAAAGCGTTTGCTCCTCCATTTTTATCAGCGTTACGTTTTAGTCAGTTCAACGCATTAGCGATTTGTCTTGCAAACAAGGGACCACTGCATCCTGAACTAGAAGGATTGTAACAAAATTGTTTTTGTAGCTTATTGCGCATAAGACGCACTGAAGAGAAAACTTTTGCTCCGTCAGCTAGAGTTTCACAATACTTGCTGCTATAGCGATCGAAAATGAAAATTATACCATGATCGTTATGATCGTCTCAGGCAGATAAGAGTCGTCTCTATTGCTGTGGTGGATCTCATTGCGCTTGTATCCGCTCTTTGTCTGGATAGCAGCAGCCAGGTAACAGAGCGTGCTACACCGCTATTCCACAAACGTGCCACACGCGTTGGTCTCGATCGGCAGCTTGTACTCGACGCACTGGTGACATCTACAATAAGCTGGACTGCCGGCCACCACCTAAGCAGATAATAAGCGAGACCTCTTGTAACTGCCCTAATTTGTATGGAGTTGCAGTACCTTCTGCACCTGCAGCTGCTCGTTATCACTCGGCAACTTTGCGTCAGCACGTTCTGCCACATTGGACGAAAAAGCCGAGCGCAAGCGGTCGTTTTGTGCAACAAGCTCACGGTTGAAACTCTAGGGCGGCATCGATAGCCATGCTGGTGTCCCGAGCATGCAAAAGCTTCCTCAGCAACTTTATAAGCCGTTGCAGTGAGGGCCAAAGCGTACGCAGTGACGCAGGACCGGCTGCTTTTTCCTCTACCTTCTCCTCATCGTTTTCACCAATCCATCCATCTTCCACTGGTCCCCAGTCACACGACAACTTCCTTCGTAATGCTGTGCGGGAATCGACCATACCACAAGCAGGAAAGCTCAAGCTTGCCAGCTGGGGATCACTGTGATCACGTTTTCCCATCTCCTTTCTAAGAGCGTGTCCGCCCACTCTTTCTGAGCGATTTGCAAAGACGTTCTTGATCAAGCTCGCGCTGCTTCTTTCAAACACAATCGAGAAAACAGTCCGAAGTGGCAACGCTGCTTGTGGTCGCGCTTCTTTACAGACAGACAGACGAACAGACATATCGATAATGGACAGAAAGTAGGTTTTAAACGCGTTGTATTCACTTTGCGCACAGTCACTAGTAGCTTCACCATTTGTGCTCGCGATGAAATCGGTGACAACACCACAACGCTCCAAGATCAAACCAGACTAGGATTGCGCTTGCCGTAGAACAAGCCATGAAATTCTTGCCCTTTTGGATCATTGTTCGCGAAGCCTTTCAGAACGATCTTTTGTAACTGTTTTTTTGTCAACGAGCTCTCCAATAGCGCATACAAATTGATGGCATACTCTTTGGGGAAGAGCTGGTTAGCTTCGTCGACCCGAGTACAAAAATCGCGAAAGTCACTACTGCCCATAAACGAATCAGTCTTCTTCTTGTGGTCCCTCTCCTTCCATTTCTCCAGCACTGCCTTTAAGTGATTGCGAAACGCCTCCTGCGCTTGAGCCGCAAGATCTGCATAGTTTTCGCCGTTGTTCTCTTTAGTGATACGAACGCTAGCTAGAACGCCTGTCACTTCCGGAGAAGTCACGTAGAAGCGGGCTGGTTTCTTATAGAACTTCTTTACAAAATCGACGAGATTTGTCAAGCAACCCGCTTCTTTGACTGTGGCCGCTGAAGGAACGTGTTGCAGGAATCTACGAGCAACGACGTTAGTCTCGTCGCCTTCGGCTGCACGGGCGTAAAGCACGTTCCCACTTGATACGAAGACGATGACGCCAGGCAGCAGCACTGCGTAAACGAGACGCATTGCAAGGTAACTGGACCGAGGATTGCTTCGTACAATAGAAATGTGAAAATGACAGAAGCACAAGCTCTGGAAGAACCGGAGTGCCCGTCCTACACAAGTGCAGTCCAATCCTACATTCGACAGGCGGGTTCTGTCGTCCAACGAAGCAGTGCAGTCCAATGAAGCAGACAGGCGAATACATGTATGTTTGCCATAGTATACAGCACTGTATGTAATCAGAGGCAAACCTTAGACGAGTGGTGGCTACCCTTCCTGCATGATCCTTACCAATGTACGTGGCACAAAAGACGAGTGTAAGCGAAGCTACGGTGGCTTGATGCCTGGGACACCTCCATTCCCCCGTTCCTGTTCATGCCTGGATACCATCTGTAGTACAAAAAGAGGCCGTTAGACTCTTCCAACCTTGAGAATACGCTAACTCCCTTTCAATCATGGGACATAAAAAACGGGACGCGCTCAACATCTCCAACTGATAGACTACCTGTGTCCAACTGTATCTCTCGCTACACAAAGACCCAGAATCAGTTATTTCTGAAACGTGATTTGCTGTCGAGTTGACTGATGGCAGATGGGAGCGGGACATGACACCGTATCCTGCGCCAAGTGAAGCTTCAAGTACGCTATTGATTTCGACATCAGCCACGATCATGCTCGCGTCTTTAACCATTTCTTTCGGAACAGGTCATGACGAGCCTAATATTGGACGTGTCACCGCGCCAGTACAGCATTACTATGAGTGGATGTGGAGTGGTGCAGTTCCCGATAAAGAAATATACGTCGCTAGTCTGCACGTAGGGTCACCAGATGGAATTACCCTTACAAGGAGCGGGACGATCACATAGACCAGATCATGCAAATACTCGAGTGTCTGCGGATAGCATATAATCGCGCCATTCGAATCAAATATAACAGCCCGTCATCACAAGATGACTGAGGAGCTGAACAACGGTAATGCAGTTGCTGCTATTAACATTATTGCAAAAGCGCCTTCTGTTCATGAGCGTGCTGCCCCTTTAGCTCTGCTAGAAGGTTTCAGATCATCCACATTGCGAAACTTTGCTACGAATGTTTACTCCTGGACGCAAGAAGAGCTCCGTGATCTCGAGTGCATTGTGGCACAGCCGCAACTGCGATTGAGTATCATTCAGAAAGTTGCCCGAAAATGATGGCGCCATGTCATCAAGCACCACCCACGTCAGCCTGAAGTCTTCTCAGTACTTCACTCAGCTGTTCCCCACTGTTGCATGGTCGAAATTATCCACGAAAATAGCTATGTCTGCCACGAGATCAAACTGTTGAAGATTTACAACCACAACTGTCGGTAGTGACTCCCGAGTCTCCGCCCTCTGTTACTACCGTTTTTATGCTCGCAGTGTCGTTTAGTCTAGTGGCGTGTTTCCAAAGAACGTGGAAAGCCTTTGCTTTACTGTCACACTATCCTCAATCGACTGCGTGTCGAAGCCACGCAGCTAGGTCTGGAGGCCTGGGTGGAGTAGACTTTCATGAGCCTGGGAACGGTCGCTGCACGAGCGTCCTCCATACATCTTCACTGGCCGCCGTCTCCGAAACTTACCATAGAGATTCTTGGATCATCGGACGGACGAGAAATACTGAAGTGCGATGATGCGTGTGCTACCAGTATTGACCCTGCTCAGGCGAACTATGTAACTCGGATTGCGTATGCTAATGGATGCCAGTGGCACGTTGGCGGAGCCCCGGACGCACGTGGCCCGGGTGAGATCCGACAATGATATGGCCTGTATTCGTGTCCACTGAAGCACGTACCGAAGTGGGTTTATGATTCAAAACGACAAGACGTAACGTCTGCCAATGTTGGAGGGCGGAGGGTGACGCGGACTGTCCGCAATCGTTCTAGAGCATGCGGTCCCTTTGTATTGCTCGCATGGTGCGACGGTATGTACCGCTGTCGATTTACCATCTATCAGAACAGATACAAATCACGACTCAAAAAAACTGATCAGATGGATGTGTGTAGTTGGAGATAGAGCTGGACACAGGTAGTCTATCAGTTGGATATGTTTGATGCGTCCCCATCGTAACATCATCTTAAAAATCCTCCCTCCCCTCTCTTGTACCTCCAATAACCAATTGCACATGACTAGTGGTCGTGTCCTGCGATCCCACATTGTGTCTGTGTGAGAAAATCGGCATGCGTCATTTTTCTGTTGTGGCAACGGATCATAGATGCAAATTAAACGTTAGACGGTCATTACCACGACTGCACAGGGAACTATGTACTCTGAGCAAAAAAATGGTGTATGATTTCCGTCTGTTGAGCAAATCATAGATACCATCATGTCGCAGAGGCACGTGCTACGCCGGAATCCGAGTCGAAGTACGTGCATGCAATTGGACGTTCAAACGTTAAGATTTGGTGCCCGGGTGCCTCTCGTACATATGATAACAATAGTGGCAGGTATACGGAGCGCTCGAAGTTGAGCTACGTCAGGCCGGCGCATATTGTTGACCTGGTCATCAACCTTCGTTGCAGTGTAACGGCTGTAGACGAATCGGAGAGTATCGTTGTGCACATATCACTTATAACATCCAACTGGAATGTTGCGTGCATGTCGAAGTAATGCAACTGTCCAGCTTGGCATGGAGTCTAACGTACCTAGAAAGTTGGCAGCACTGTCATATGGCAAGTTGTCGATACGAAAGATCCGTGGCATGTGTATCCATAGCGAAGACTTGAACCAAAAAGCCTGGGACCGTACGCCTGCTCCCCTACCTTTGGGTCCGTTTGTACTGCATTTGTCTCGATTAAGGTTGCTCATTTGAACCCTGTGGACATGGTAAGTCAAAGTTGATTTCATCATAACCTTCTTACTCATGTATCGATGCTTATGCAAGATATGCTCTGTATTTGCCGGCCCGCCTTAATGCAACTTCTTGTCATCCACACTGCAAACAAAAGGTGTGCGAAGCGACCTTCTCCACTTGTCGGTAGCCGATAGCCCTTTTACTATCAACAAGATTCGTCATTTTTTATATTTCTACTGCGATTTCTAGTTAATTGTAAAATACCAGGCTGTATTGGCTTCGAACAGCATCGTATCCGGTCAATCAGAAAAAGTCACCAAAACTCAGGCAACACCCGTGCGCGTGTCGTTCTGACACTTCAGGCTTTCTTACTTCAGAAACGACAAAAATCGCCTCACAATATACCGCCACGCTTCTCGTCAATTTCAAGTTACGCCCTCTATTGCGACTATTGCGCCAGCAAAATGTCCTCCTGGGCGGCTCTCAACGCCCGACCTTCGAGCGACGCCCGCGACCAGAGCGCAGCGCTCGAGCAGGCGACAGACGAGGCGCAAGATGCAGAACACACGGCGATGTACGAGCAAGCGCTGCGCTGCCAGCAGCGGCACGAGCACGCTGCAGCCAAGGCGTTGTACTTGGCGTTACTTCACAGCGCCTTCCGCACCCCTACCCGCTTGGTCTATTTGTGCTATAAAAACCTCGCGAGTCTGGATTTCGAGGTGCAATCATTTGAAGACGCTCTGTTATCGTATAGTCAAGCGGTATCGCTGGACGCAACGGACGTGGTGGTGTGGTACCAAATGGCTACATCTGCCGTGGAAACAGGAAAGCTGTGGCTGGCCCGGAGGGCTCTGGAAGAAGGGTTCAAGGTAGATGCAACGTATTGGCCGCTTGTGGAGACGCTGGCGCTGGTGCTGCATGTGCTGAAGGACGAAGGCGCGTACGAGTGCGTGGCGCAGTATCTTCGCGAGCGGGACCCGCAGTGCGCTTTGGTGCAAGTGATTGACGCCATGCGGCGGTCAGATGCCGCGCTGGAGACGGAGCTGGAGATGGAGAGGTTACGTGGTGACAAGTTGGTGCTGAGACGAGCACAAAAGAGGCTGCGACATGTGGAGACGATTGTCGAAAGAGGGACGAAACGACGGCGAGAGCTTGAGAGAGAGTGTGCAGACAAGAGGAGGAAGCAGGTGGGAAGAAGGAGGACGTATACGCTGTTTCAGGCGTCGTGGACGGGACTAGGTGAGCTGCTGCTGGAAGCGTTTGACGAGATTCATCGAGACGTTGAGGCACATGTGTTGCAGACAGAAGTGGAGATCCGAGTTGGGTTTTGCGATGAAGAGATCGAGGATTGTGCAGCTGAAGAGGCTGAGAAGGAGGTGGATAGGGATGGCGACTTGCCGCTGTCGAATGGCGTACAGTTGAAAGAGCCGGTAGAAGTCACTGCTGCTGCTGGTTGTGACACACCAATGTTGACGGAGATCTCGGACAATGATACTCAGGACAGCGGTAAATATGCGAGTGAGGTGATGGTGGATCAGCCTAAGCGACGAAAGTCACGCCGGCGCGAGAACCAGCTGTGGCAAGAGCAAGCTGCTGCAATGAAGAAAACTCGTGAACAAGATTTGGCTTATCGCCTGCAAGCTTTCTTGCCCACTAATGTCGGAGACGAAGAGAAAAATGCGACGCAGGAATCGGTCTTGAGTGAGTGGCTTCCTTCGCTTACTGTCGAATATGTCAACGGTAAATTTTGCATTTCGAATGCGAGGAAGGAAGTTCTTACAGAACTGGCATCGTTCGCGATATCGACAGAAGAGCCTGCGAGTGATTCTGATATATCGTGTTCACGGATATGTTCTCGTGAGCAGGCAGCACACGAGGTGGCGCTTCAACCAGAAATGGTGACAGCGAGACAAATTGTATCGTTTGTCACTGGAAGTGCTGGTGGGACTACGCGTTCGGGTGTGATAATTGACTGGATGCGACGGTATCTTAATCAATGCAGTCAATGGTCGCAATTATACCTTGATGATGACGATGGAAAGATCCACAAAGTTTGCGCCTGGCATGAAAAAGCGATAAATGGAGACTTGGATATCTTAAAATTAGAAACGAGAACGCAGCCCACTGTCATAAATGTTGCGGATCACTCGCTTTTTCAAAACAGCCGCTTTGAGAGAAATGGATTGTCGCCTAACACTCGTCTTTTTCTGCTGGAACTTCGTTTCGATACGCTTTTGCAGCGATTTCTCCGAGGTAGAAAGATGTGTGGAATGGAGAGACTGCTGGAGGTCCAGTTAGCTGAAGCGGAAACGCTCATGTTTGAGTTCGGCTGGCTTGAAAACGCAGAAAATGTAGTTTGTGACCCGAACGGGGGTGAACTTTTGCGACTACTTTGGCTTATGGCACGAATGCACGAGCGATGCGGAAACCCTCGAATGGCTCAGCACTACTTTGCCAAATGCAGAGAGAGAGTAGTAGGTTTGAACGAAGAAGGCAAGGAAAATGCTGATGTTTACTTCCGGATATATTTGCCCAATCTAAGTGCTGGTCGTGAAATTTCGTTGGAACAACTGAACATAAAATTATCAGGATTGCGTCTTTCTGACGTGTATTCGGAAGCTCGAGACTTTTTTGAAGTCGGAAATTACGATCATGCGGCGTCAGTTTTGTTGGAACACTTTTATCCTTGCAACCGAGTGCCACGTGTGGCAGAACTCTTGAACGAGTTTTGGTCCGACGAAGATGGGCACTCAGCGATTGGTGAAAGTAATGAGCTTTTTGAAATGGTGTATGCGTCACTGGGACAGAGCTCTATATATTCTGAAGAGGATTCGATCTTGTTTTTGCTGACAACTTTCTATCATGTGATTGAGTGTTTGGATGGCTCGGCTACAAAGAAGGAGCTCGGTTTGCGCATGAATTCGTCGGATAAAACATACACGAATGCTATGCATACAATGAACTTCTTGCTGACCCAGCTCACCCAGAGTAAGCTCGAGCATGTCACGAATCCTGACCACAGGTTGCTGCTACGTGGTTTATGCGTAAAATGTTTGCAGCCATCATCATTGTTTCGCTTCGATTCTCCAAATGTTGTTCTATCTATGATAAGCGTTGCGTTGGAAGTGATTGAAGATAGATCATCGGATGCGCGTGATAGTGGTGGTAGTATGCAGCGGGCGATTGGAGTAGATGCCATGGCCCGCTTGTTGTACGCGATAAGGTCCCTCTCAGGTGACGATTTTCGTGGGTCCTGTTCATCAGTACCACACCCAGCTAAGAGAAAGATATTGCGTCGTGATCGCATTCGAGTGGCCGTTGTTGAAGTGTTGCGATTTCTGAATCGGGCCTTCCGAAACAATGACGAGATTGCTTCGTCGTTTCCACTGCACAAGCGGTCTGCTCTGATGAACTTGTGCATCATATTGATGAAGGAGGAAGAAGAAAAGGTAGCACAGAGTAATAGCAAAACGCCGAAGCAGCTGTTTGGCAATGGAGCCATTTTATTCTTACAGTTGCATGAGAGTTGGTCACGAGCACATCTGACTACGTTGCCGATGCAATTGGTAGAGCTGATACATCTTCTCCACGGGAGACTTGGACAATATGGCATTTGCGGCCTTACATACTTTTCTGACATTTCTCCCGCCGAAGATTTGCGCAAGAGCTCTTGCTTTCTCGAAACAAGTGCGGTGCTGCTAAGCAAGTTTGTACAAAAAGCACATTTTCGAGACACTGGAGAATATGCGAAGACGTTGAATGGTGACATTGATGGAGAAGATAATGCAAATGCAGATTTGGGTGAAGACGAAATTGATTTTCAAACAGAGTTGTGCCAATGCTACCGTTGTTTGTACGATGTGCAAATTGTGCCCGGATGCGAAGATCACAAGGCAGGGTCTACCTTTGCGTCACTACAAGGCGCTAAGGTACCTATCAAACATGATGACGCCATGCGGCTCCTTCGTTTCGCTGTGCCGGTATTTTTGGCTACAAAGGCGAAAAACAATAGTCAAAAGAGGGAGCGACAGAAGTTACTTTGCGCTGTGCGAGAAGCTCTGTCTGACTCCGGTGTCGCTGCTTTCGTTGCGCAGCCAGTCACTGCACCTCCTTCCTTGCAAGTATACTTAGCCCCGGGAGGCCTGCTACAGGAAGACGCACTGTTACCGTTTCCGCTAGATGCCACCAGCTCCATGGGAAGATCATCGGACGAAGTTTGCGTGAGCCATTTGTGGTATCTGCTGGGTGCTAACTGTATCCTTGGGCGAGTAAAACGACGAGGAAATCTTGATGAGCTGATAGAATTGGAACAACGCGTGCGCCTGCGGGTGGAATACCTGATCAAAGACGTATTGTACTACCACTCTGATCGAGTTGACACGTGGGTGCACTTGGGAAAGACAATGAAGGAACTCTATCACGCTGCTACAGATGCAATAGCGGCTATACTCGGACGAAATTTACGTGTTCAAGCATTTTTATGGTACACAACTACGATACTTGATTCGAACAAAGAGCATCTGCAAGGGCAGCATACTCGAAGTACCCCAGACATGTACTCATTTCGTAATGTCGTTCTAGAGTGGGGCTTGTTTAAAAAGCTGAAGTTGTGGCAAGAAAGATTGGTCGATGGACGGAATTCGAGCAGCAAAACTGTAACTCCGGAGGATCGAAACGAGAAGACGGATGCGAACGATGCTCACGACGAGTTTAGTCAAAGCCAGGTTCCTGTTGAAGAGTACGCTACGATGTACATATTCCAGGTGGTTGAGTTTGCTAGGCGCTGTTTTGATGTGGCTGCGCAACTGGCCAACAAGGGTGCTCAGAAACACCAATCAAGACAAATCTGCAAGTGCGGTAATTCTGACAACGATGTTGTGGGTGCGGGAAGCACCTTTGATAAAGCGCTAAGTAGCTTACGAAACATCGTTTTTGAGTGCAACGAAGAATGTGGTTTGCTGCTGTATAGTCTCTTGCAAGAGTTTTCTTTGATCAAGGAGATGAGTAATGCGGCTTTTCCGTACGAAGCGTACTCGCGTTTGATTGACAAAACATTGAGCTATTTCCAAGAAGGGTGGAGCCAGTGCAGATCCAATGAGAACGCCCACGACGACCACTTCCGTCTACAATATATGATTGGCAAGACCTTGAAGAAAAGACGCTGGTGCGAGCTCCACCGACAAAAACTTTCTGATCCAGAAGTGCTATCAACAGCAAAAGAAATGGCTGGATATTTCTCTAGAGCAGAGTCTGCTCGTGCGGTAGGAGACAGGGAACACGCCCTTGTCCATGCGTTCCATTCTTTGCAAGCGCTGCGAATTGAGCTCACAATCTGCGACTCGCCGTCAGTGGAGGCGCTCCGCTTGGTTTGCGGTCATTATTATGAAGGAATGGAATCAGAAGATGAAATGGAGGATACTGATGAAGGTGTTGCAGATGATGATTCTTCCCAACTAGGCGATGAGAATAACAGCAATGAGAAAGAGTTTGTGCCGGCTACCCTGAAAACTGTTAGTCAACATGCCACTGCAGCTCGTGAGATCACTTGTGCCAGCACTGTAAAGAAAGGTGAAATATTAGCACTGTTGACGGCTGCTGAAGACAACAATGCGATCGGTGACTTGAATATCACTCTTGCACGAGGTTGGCTTACGTTGAATATTATTGAGGCCCTCGAGTCGATCCCAGAAGAGGACCGGTACTTTCATCCCTCGCGCTATAAACTCGCGCGGATCATGTATTGGTTGTCGACGTTCCGTCCAGCACTGGAGCAGGGCGAATACACAGGCGACGGCATCGATGCTCTTCTCATTGCCATGCGGGCTCATCACTGTAAAGATAAAATAGAAGGCTCTTGTGCTGCGGCTGCACGGGCGCTAAAAGAAATGGCTCCTATTTTTGACAAAAGACGGTCTCAGGTTGTTGCGATTTGGTTTTCGGAGTACATTCCGACCGCGAAGAAATTTGAGGAACTTAACCAGCGCCAGATGAAGTACGACTACTACCGTCTCAAGTACTGGCGCTATTTCATCGCGTTGCTTCAAGAAAATGCAGAGTATGGAAGGTTGAAAGAGGTGGAGACGTGGGTGCTCGCTTGCAAAGAAGATCATGATGTGATTGATATCATGCTCGGTATTGCGCTGAAAGCGCGGGGTCTGGTGCTTCGAATGAGGCTACTAGAGGTGCTGAACCGCGCCGAGGGCGTTGGTATTGACTCCGCAGTCGATGCAATCGGACAAATCCAATCACCTGGTGGGGACCGTTTTGCCAGGGAATTTCTCAAGGAGCTGGCTAAGGCTTACACTTACTACTTGGACTTGTTGAATGCTCAGCTGCGACTGGCACGTGTCATGGACGACTGCGAGTTGTGGCTCGAGAAGGCTCAGCTTTCAATGGTCGCGCTGTTTTTGGTGTGTGTGATGAAGTATCCGTCCGAGATGGTGTTATTGCAAGAAGACGCCGTGATCATGGACCACGAATTTCACGCTAATGTCATCGTGATCAAGCAAGCTCTCGTTCGGCACGAATTGCCTTCTCGGATGTTTGACGCTCAAGCTCAAGAAGCGTGGAAGATGTACTGGACTGCTGTCAATTCATTCTGTGAGAACAAGTGGCCCGAGCGTGTTAGCAAGGGCAAGTCATTAAAAAAGCTGTCGAGGCCAAGGACTGCTGGGGCTGTTGCATCGGTTATCGCCAGCAGCAGCGCTGGTGCATGTCAGTTAAGCTCGACTGGGTCAAGTTCGTAACAAGCTAATTAGAACAATAGGAAAGCTATTTGCGTATATTAATTTAAACATACAATTAACTTAAAACAGTTTTGAAAGCTATTTGCGTACAATAACATCTGTAATATACCATGTGCCGTTTTACGATGAACCTCACCGGATTGCTCACGTCCGCATCTGTCACGCTTCGGATCGTTACGAAAGTCGTGGATAGCAAAAGCCGTGATAAACCAAAGTCATCAATTAGAAATAGCATGTGAAGTCGTTTTCATCCACTTATCATGCGGCAAGACCCTACCGCCTCCTTACTTTCCACGAATCAACATCGTTCTAATTAGCGGGAAATTTGAATTCGTGAACGACATATCTTACCTCAACTTTAGCGATGGGTGTACAGGGTCTTCTGCCCGCGCTCAAGAGCGTCATCGATCAGGTGCACATGTCCAAGTACGCTGGAAAGACAGTGGGTGTAGATGGGAGCGGATGGCTCTATAAGGGCGCGTACAGCTGCCCCGTGGACCTGGTTTTTGGCCGACCGACCGATGCGTGCGGAACGAATTAACCTCGATTTTAGAACCTGCATCAGTGAATTAGTGCTAAAAAGTGCAACTTGGTACCTGTAACAGGTACTTGAACTATAGTATGCAGCAGCTAAAACAGCTACAAGCACACGACATCACGCCTATTTTAGTGTTCGATGGAGCTCCTCTACCAGCCAAGGCACCGACAAACGCTGCTCGAAGCAGGTTGGACACATTATCGACTGGCTAAATTGAAGCTACGGCTTACTTAAACTTAGGCTAATTGCCACTATCTCACTAGATCACGTGCGGACTGGAGACGGAAGGCTGAAAAGCTGCTTGAGGAACAAGACGAGCATTCAGAAAGCAGTCGTGCCCTTTTTTTGGCCTGTACAAGGGCGGTTGCGGTAACGAACGAGATGGTCAGGACACTAATCACAGTCCTGCAGAACATGGGCATTTTGTTTTACGTCGCACCATACGAGGCAGACGCTCAGCTGGCATTTTTATCGAGGCACAAGATTGTGGACGTGGTGATCTCGGACGACTCGGACTGTGTGCCTTATGGTGTCAAGACAGTGCTGTTCAAGCTAGGTGCTACCGGATGGGGCAGTGAGCTCAAGCGGCGAAGTTTAGGGGCCAATGAAGACCTGTCATTCAATGGATGGACGGAAGAGATGGTTTGTGTGCTGCTGCTGCTGCTACTGCTGCTCTTGAAATCTGGATGCAGTAAAGTGGTTGCTGACCTGTTGTTGTCGGATGTGGACGAGCAGCTTCTTCAGCTGTGTGTGCTTGCTGGCTGTGACTATTGCCCGTCCATTTACGGCATTGGCATTGTTACGGCGTACAAACTTGTGAGTCAGTACAAGACACCAGCGGAGGTAAGATTTGCTTTGATGATGCTTAGTACTTGAAGCTCATTATACTGAAATCATGGATGTAGGTGCTGAAAGCATTGCAACAGAAGCCAGAGACACTTATGCGTAAGGATTTTGCCGAACAATTCTACTCGGCAATTCTCACCTATCGCCATCAACTGGTCTTCGACCCGCGTGATGATGTACGTCGAAAACCCATTTTCTTCAATTTGTATTGCATGTCACGACCTCACGTTAATTTGCTCTCACGGTAACTACAGAAACTAAAGATGCTAAACCCTCTTGACATTTCGATGGACATTCTGCCGCGAGTAGACAAGGGTCTTCATTTTCTTGGCAATGTTGAACTTCGAGACGATGTCGTTGCATGCATCGCATCAGCCCAGATTCATCCAGTCACGCACGAAAGTTATGCGTGGAAGAATACCGCCGCCGCTGCTACCTTGTGTGAAGAACAGACAGCTGCGAGCCTAACGCAGAGAAGGACACGGTCATCAACTTCTTCCGAAAGCAGTGGCGTGGCCCTACCCCACCGACTTCAACGGAACACCGAAGTCGTCACTGCTGGCAGCACTTACGCGCCAGGTGGCTCATCACAGGAAGAATTCATCACCTCCACGAACAAGTCGCGAGAAGCATCACGTGTCCGATATGAAAAGCCACGTCCTTCATCCCGGTCGTCGTGGACGCACCTCGACAGCGTCTTAGGCTCGTCCGACCACATTGTGAACTTCCGCAGCCCAAAAGTTAGCGAGAATTTCACGCCGCTCACTGCATTACACAAACCGCTCGTATCGACACATACTTCCAGCATGGACATGCTGCATCTCAAGAAGTTCGATAGACGCCCCGTGCGCAGTCACGCGAAGCGCGTTAGAAACCCAACAAACCGAAGACGAGATGGGAAAGGAAGCGGCTTTGAAGGCGAAGTGCTGTGTCGAGTCGACCAGGGACAGGCTTCCCATTTCGAATCCAGGTCCGATAGCCGACTAAGCTTAGCAGAAGCTTTAAGCCACTCAGATCGTTTGACCGATGATGCAGAGGGAGATCTGCCACAGAAACCCAAGCGACCCAGAGTATTCGAACATCCACCGTCTGTGCCTTCAACGCGATCATCGCCGGCATCAGAAGATAGCAGCCGGAAACAGCTTGTCCGCCCTACACCTTTTGGATGTGACAATGGACGGTCATCTACCTCCAGCAACGACAACGGCTTCCACTGGACGTTGCCACCCCGCCACTCGCAGCAGCCTCAAAGCCTCTTGTCAAGAACCGCAACGTCAGCATCCAACTACGCATCTACCGCATCAGCCGAAGAGAAATGGGACCGCATCCTAGGCGACGAAATCGACGACGACGACGGTACCAACAGCAGCGGTAGCCAAATAGAAGACTAACAAGTTCACTATTGTCCCCGCTGTGTCTTCTAGCGCAGTTTCCTGCCACGCATTAGCCAGGACGAACCAACAGCACCTGGAGCTGACTTTCGAGCAGCTGTCTGTCTGCTACAGGTAAGCCAGTCTCTCGAACCTTTCGAAACTCAACGTGGAGCTACAAGACAAACCCTTCAGTGGCCGGGCGAGCTTCGTCGTCTTTACCACCGCCTCGCACTGCTTGCAAGGCAAAGCGCCGTTGTCTCCGGATCGCGTCGTCATCTGCACTGCTGATCCGCGTTATTGGCGTCATCATTGGTGAAGGACCTGGTACTCCTATCCTAGCAGCATGGACCACTGCTACGGGCCCCGGTACAAAGTGGCTGCTCCGGTGTTTACCCACCGAGATCGGAACCGGTGCGACCAGAGCCGCCCGCGTTGGCCTTTCCCGGGTCACGAAGCTCGTCTCTTCCATGGACTCCTCCAGCGCGCGCATCCACAAGGAGCGGTCGCCGTCCCCTCCATTAACACCTCCTCGACGTCCGGAGCGTTCACGGTGATAGTTACGCAGCGGAGGCAGTTTTTCCAGAAACCGGAGATCTGCAGCGAGCATGGGCCGCTTTCGTCGTGGCTGGACATCGTCCAGGACCGGAAAGTCGTCGACCGGATGCAGACCTTCGGAATCTTCGAAGCACGTGGACACGTGGTCGTCTCCACTCACGTGCTTGGTCGAGATGGACGAGGGTTGTGGACGCGTGCGCTTGGCAATGTGAGAAGAGGGAAGTGCCATGTCGGACAAGTTGGTGCGTTTCGAAGTCGTGGCGTTTGTTTATGAGGGAGAGAGAGGGAGAGGGAGGGAGGAGAGGGGAGAGATGGAGAGACGCAGCGGGACCGAAAGATTGGACCTGTGGCCTGAAACGAGAGGTGGACGAGGGGGAATCGACCGCCTGCCTACTGCCCTCGATGTTGTTTGAACGCGCGCAGATGCTCGGTCGTTTCACGTAAAGAGACGCGAACGGAGATGTGCACTCTTTTGGGCGGCAGGCAGACGACAAGAACAGTCGATCTGACTATCGGACCTGGCGGATCCAGCTGTCTGTAGTGTCGCAGAGCTCGCCGCGGTATGGTTCGAAGACGTTCCGTCTGCATCGATCGCTCCTGCTTGATTTGGAGTCGGCAGAGGTGCCGCAGGGACTGCCAAGAGGATCGACATTCTCTACACTACTGCTATGGGTCAGGAAGTGCGTGCAGCGACACCATTTGGCGCGGCCACTTTCTGCGTGTCCGACGGAAGGAACATGTCCGACGTAGTGATGCACCAATGGTGCGGTACTTTGCGCGCAGATGAAGACCCAGGGCTTTATCGAAAACTCGACTAGGATCCGCGGACGAAACGTGATGTTTGTAGCGACTATTGTCTCTTGCGCTGGACGAATGAGTTCAAGGACGGTACCGAGGCGGTCAAAGTGGCTTCTAGATGAGACGTGGGCCTGGCTTGATAATGGACGGCGGCATCATAGCTCCGGTATGTATCGACTTGCATTCCGATCACCTTATTTTGCATGGATACAGTAAACGAATGTGACGACGTTCCACTCCAGTGTGCTCGCTTCCTCGACTGTGTCCTTGGAATGCACACAGGTCACGGGCAGTGGTGTGATGACCACATCCAAGGGCCCTTTGACTTTGGGCATCCCCGTAATCGAGAGTTCGTACGTGAGCTGCCATGGTCCGGCCCTCTACGGTCTTGGTATCAAATTTGCTCCGAAGCATGGCCAAAGTGAGCTTCAACTGCATCATTGAAAACCTCCGGCCGATACACGCGTGTGGCCCTGAGCCGAAAGCGCTGTAAGCGAACGGCGACAGAAGGCGGAACTTGCCGGGTTTAGAATCGATCGTGCGCTCGGGCTTGAACTCGTGTGCGTCCTTGCTTTACGTCTTTAAATTTCGGGCGCTGCTGTACGAAGAGATCATGATCGCCTGGTCTGTCTGGACGAACGGCCCGTCATCCAACGTCGTGTCTTGCATAGCTCCACGCGCAAGAAAGCCCGTCGAGGAGGTAAGATGAACGTTCTCTTTGACAGCTGCTTCGAGGTACACGAGACTGTGGATCTGCTCTCGCGTCGAGCCTCAGATCTCGCCAGTCAACCAACCCGAAGGCTTTGCTCTCATCTCAGCGCGCATTTCGCGCAACACCTCGGGGTGCCGCTTCACCCTCACGAGAAACCTGCTCATGCTGCGTGTCGTCGAGTCTTTTCCGCAGAAATGAATGACATCGCCGTGTCACGCGTAATCGTAGCATCCTCATCCTCAATGCGCACGTGGATACTCTCCCTCAAGGTACTGCTCTGCATGAAAAGCGCAATGAGATCGCTCGCCACTCTCTTTTTCCACTTGGCTGCAAGCTCCGTCTTCTTCTTCTTCTTCTTCTTGCTCGACTCCGAGACGATATCGCAGATCAGGTTGTCCAAGATGTGTCTCGGGTGCCTCCGATACGTGTTACTTACAGATGGTGATGATCAAGTATAACCGTTATGTTAAGTCAAACTTAATATATCTCACACTTTATTAACAGTAAAGTCTGTCCATGACAGAAGCACACAATGAGCGGTCCGCATATAGTAACGATGCATGTTTGTATTTTGACATAGTCAACTGAAGTCAAGTAGGGATGATTCAAAGGATTAACGATACTAAATACAGTTTTCCTTTTCACCTTTACTAAGTACTCTTACTCCGTATAGCAATCTTCCTCTGCACGCACGTACGTGTACGTGAGGTAGTCGGACGCGCACACCCTTGCACCGTCAGCAGTGCAAGGTTTATTCAGCAAGCTGAATAAAGCGTGCCCCGTTACACCTGGTAGCACTTCGTAGTCCGTTTAACGACCATGAACATGTTGGACGATGAGGGGGACGAATTTTGTAACGGGGCACCCTTTGTTTTGGGGTGCCACGAAACTTTACGTATGCCAGTACGTGCAGAGGAAGCTAATCTACTTAAACGACTCGTTTGAGTAAAGGGTAAAAAGAGAACTGTATTTAATATAGCTAAGCTATCAATCTAACTCAATCTTTATCTAACTATATCAAACTACGTCGTCGTATGACGACAACCTGCTCACCACGCATTGCGCGCTTCTAGCAGCGATTGGAGGGAACCTTGATTGATACGTCTTTATCAACCAATCATTAATCAGCGCTTAAATAGTACCCACAAGGGGGGTAATATTCCTTCATCATTATCCATCTTGGATAATAATGGTAGGATATTGTCATGCTAGACAATATCCCTATTGACACTGTTTGGTGTCAACTTCATGTAAAGGGGTAGCCCGTTACACCCCCCCCTTAACGATCAATCACGCGTTGTTTGCATAGAATTGATTGGGACAGGGTGACCACCGTTGGATCACTCTGGAAAGGGAAGCACTTGTTGGTCAAATTCCAACTCATTTGCTAATTTATCGCACGGTGTCAAAGTCCATGTGATGTGCTGTCGAAGCAGCAAGAATGGCGGTTGCACGCGTGGGTGCGGATGAAGAGGGTGCTTTTCTTGCTTCAGCAGCAGGTGATCTTTCGCCTGCTGTTGCAATTCAGCAACAGGCGGTGTGAACAGTTCACGTGGTGAGTAACCACGTGCGACAAATACATCCGCTGAGTGTGTAGCAGGTACTGCGAATCGCGATGTAGATGAGCCTAATATGTACAGCTCATCTATTCTGGCGCAATTTGAGAACGAACGTTCGATCCAATCTCTCTTCGTGAAGATCTGAATGCAGCTTGTCAGGACATCGCTCAGCTGCGTGACCAGGTCGCTTCTCTAGCCAATTAGACTGGCTCGTTGAAATGGGACCACTCGAAGGTGGTCTCGGCCCTTGACCGCGGAGGTGTTCTTCGCCTCTCGAAATGGGCTCGTAATGATAGTACGGGCGAGACGTCCAACGTAAAACGTAGGATGCGTACGCATCTTAAGGGGTAGTTCAATCGTGTATGCGTTTCACATCCGGCGCAACAAACGAAATGGACGATATGCCTGGGCAGTAATCTACTGCTGCCCACGTTCGTTACTGCGTGTTTCGGTAGATTTACTGTAGACAGTAAAATTAAATCCCCTTCGTTGAATGAAGAACGTTTGCGCTTTCGTGTTTGTCCGCGTTTCTCTTCTGTTTATCTATTGCATCTACAAAAAAGTCTTGAACGAAGCGGACAACCGCTTCGCGAGTCAGCAAAAATACCTCTGCTGATTCATCTTTGTTAACAGCAGTGCGCTTCGTGTGCACTTCTGAAAGGACGTTGTATTCACCAATGAGGGAGTCATCTTCCTTACTGTGGCAGTCGTTGGCGATTCTGAATATACCAGCGTCGTCGTCATCATCATCATCGATTCGATCGCATCGACACCGGCATCCATCTAGTCGACACCATTGTCGACGTGTGATGAGCAAGAATCGGATCGGTTTTGGTTATAGCGAGTCCACCCCCCCCTTAAATTAGAGTCACACTCTAAGAAGGCGGGCCGACGTGGATGGCGTAGGCCATTCACGAAAAACGGTGTATGCGAAGTCGACGCATGCATCAAGTTGTTGATGGCGAATTCCACCATCGGCAAGAACTCACTCCAACTCGTAAACGCGTTGACATACCCTCGAAGTATCTCTTCGAGGACGCGGTTGACACGTTCCGTCTGACCACCTGTTTCTGGGTGGTCAGAAGTCGACATCTCCAAACGTGTTCCAAGTGAACGGAACTCGGATTGCCAGAACTCCGCTGTGAAGCGGGGGTCCCTATCGGACACGAGGTAGTGGGGCAACCCATGAAGTCGGAAGATCGTATCGATGAAGACACGTGCACATCCCTGGGCTTTGATTGACTCCGGTACAGCAAAAAGATGTACCATCTTGCTGAATCGATCAACAAACACAAAAATACCAGTATTCTTGTGAGCGTCTTTGGGAAAACCGAAGACGAAGTCCATCGATACGGACTGCCAGCACTCTGCTGGAATCGATAGAGGCTGCAAGGGTGCGCGAGATAATGAACTAGGCTCCACCCGTTGGCAAAATTCGCAAGCGCGAATGTACTTGCGCACAAACTCATACTGGCGGGGCCAGTTGAAGTCACGGTTTACCGTGAGATTTTTCTTTTCCCTACAACGATGCCCAATGGTCGGGGCATCGTGACACTCATAGATGATGCGCAGGAACGACGCCACGAGGTGTGTCGCCCTTGACTGCTGTATAGTATAGCAGTCCATCACGAACAGAATTTCTTTCGGTTGAAAAGCGGTATTGAGACGTAAAGCTTTTCAAAGCTTGACTGCATAGATTAGACAGTTGACCCATCAACCGCAGAAGAAACACATTGTCCGCATATGCCTTTCGCACGTCGTCAAGCAGATTCGACGACGGAACACTCACTGATAGTGCAGCAACAGTGGGACCACCCCTACTGTTGAATGGAGCAGTCGGCTCGAAATTCGGCCGACGAAAAAGAGCATCAGCGACGACATATAATCGTCCTAATTCATACTCGACGAAGAAGTTGTACTCCGTGAAGAAAGACAGCCACCTCGCCATTCGTTGCGAGAGGTGTGGACTGTTTACGGCCGTGCGTAATGACGCATGGTCGGTACGGTGTCCCAGTAAACGTCGGCCGTATCTCTGACGGTCCTTAGGTAGCGAAATTTCTTGTCGGGTAAGTTCCGACCTGCATGAATGGTGTAACGACATTCCCGCATCCTTTAAAGAAAGCGTAATAGCTCATTGGTCTAGTTTTTTGCGCCTAAAAT